CATAATGTTATAAAGTAGAAATCACCTAAAAAGTTTTTAAGATACCTCAAAGTAACGGTTTAGGGGAAACGGACTAGCTTGGTTGATGTCCGGAAACGTAGGTGGAGGCGGCATGAGGCAGATTAAAATAGACACGGTTGAATACTGAATGGGTCAGTTATTTTCAAATAGTAATAAAGATTGATTGCAGATTCCCTGTACCGCCTTACTACGCTCCGCGAGGCTATTTCTTTTTTCGCGCGAGCGAGTCGTGTGCGCGCTTGATCACTTAACACTAAGACAAATCTCATTGGCTGATTCTTGCGCGCGCCTTTTTCTTCCTTTGTCATGTCATAAAGGAAAGACTTCACTTGCAAAACGAATTTGTTCGCTTCAGACGTGTTTTTGCAAAGAGAGAAAGTTTCTTGCTAAACTACTCAAAATGGGTGTTATTTGGAGTTCTTACAAACAAAAGAGAAAGGAGAAAAAGGAACTTAAAAGGTTTGTTAGCTCCTTGGTTGTTCTTATTTTATGAAAAAACGAAAAAACTTGAACATACTTCATACGCAGTGGAAAAGAAAAACTGAACTGAGAAAATGTATATATCGTAACTTAGTATAGCCTATGAACCACTTTTTAATTTGACAGAGTTACAAAATGTAATCAATACTCTTTTACACTTTGCGCAAATTTTTGCTTGTGCTTTTCACTAGCGCATAATGAAGTATACTTTGAAAGACGAACTGTAGCGTGAAATGCTATTCTAAATATTACCAAGCGTGATCAGTGATTCACACTTGAAGTTTCTAAAAGTTAGGACCGGGTAACCCTGTCTGCCTTGTAAACACGACGAAGAAAAAAAGAGGAAATGTGTGATTGATAGCGTAATCCACTTGCTAGGGTAGCCCTCTCTTCTTATAAACAGGCCCTTGAATTATGGGAGCTTATATAAACGTTGTCCAAAAAAGACAAGTTGAAACGCGTCTAAACGTCGCGCGCACAGGTGGGAAATACGTTGAAAATATTTCAGTACGTTACCCTTCTGCCACTCGTCTCAGTTTGTGTGAACTTTGATTTCTCGATTCCGCTACACTTTTCATGTCAACATTTGAAATTCGCATTGAATTAACTTCAAATGGAAGAAAGTCTGGATGTCGTAAATATTTATTTATAAAAAAGGAAATCACCTACGTACGTAGGTTGAGGAGACATGATGCAGATTGAAGTAAACACGGTTGAATGCTAAATGGTCAGTTATTTTCAAATAGGAATATTAAAAGATCGATTGCAGATTGCCTGAACCGCCTTGCTACGCTGTGCGTTTTTTTTTTTTCGCGCGAGCGAGTCATGCGCGTGCTTGATCAGTTAACACTAGGGCAAAGCTCATTGGCTGATTCTTGCGCGCTCTTTTTTCTTCCTTTGTCATGTCATAAAGAAAAGACTTCACTCGCAAAACGAATTTGTTCGCTTCAGACGTGTTTTGCAAAGAGAGAGAGATGGTTTCTTGCTAAATTACTCAAAATGGGTGTTATTTGGAGTTCTTACAAAGAAAAGAGAAAGGAGAAAAAGGAATTTAAAAGGTTTGTTAACACCTTCGTTGTTTTTATTTCGTGGGAAAACGAAAAAAAAAAAAATCGAACATGCTTCATACGACGTAGAAAAGGAAAACTGAACTGAGAAAAGGTATAAATCGAACTTAGTCCTATGAACCACTGTTTAATTTGACGGAGTAACAGGATTTAATCAATACTCTTTTACGCTTTGCAAAAAGTTTTGTTTAAAAGGTTGCGTTTCTGCAAAGGCTGGTTTTCACTCGCGCTTAAGCTTAAACCGTGACAGCAGAAGCACACGCAGTAAGATGCTGATTAGCGTCTTTCGTTCGGAAACTTTCCTAACAAAAGGCGCTATTGAACAGCATCTCATTGCATGTGCTTATGATTTTCCGGCGCTAGTGTAAGCCTGAAGAAAGTGGGGAAAATGAGAAAAAAAGTTAAAATTGAGAAAATTTGGAAATAAATATCATTTAAATGAATCGGTCATTTTGGGTTTCTGAATTTTCCCACACGTCGCCATTATGGTTGCAAGTCTCGTAACTTTTGGTAAGATAAATTGATTGAAAAAGGAAAAATCAATTTAATTTAACATGCCGCTGGTCATTTCTTACAGGAAGCGTGGGCTTCGCAGTTCCATGTCCCCGTCCGAGAGGGCGAAAGTAATAAAGATGAAAGCTCAAATGGAGCAACAAATCCAAGCTCTTGAAGAACAGATAAACCTCGAGAAATTTGCACTGACTGCCGGCAACAGGCCTCGGCAACTGGTCAAGACTTTAAGGTACAAAGACTTTTTTATTTTCATTGCATGTCCTTAGTAAACATACGATGGGATGGGTAATGAAGGGTTACATTCGCTAAAATTGCGATCATTTTGATGGGCGTATATAACTAATTACGGACCTTTTCTTTTATGTCTTTCCAGCTCTTCTTTAATCAATAACCTGGGAAATCAAAGAGAGGCATCAGACCTCCAATCCAGCGTCTCTGAATCTGACAGACTGATGATTGAAGCCTGTGAGTTTTCACAGTTCAAGAGAGAGCATCCACTGGAAAAATGGACAGTGGGCTCGCTTCCAGACCTGACTTTATACTGGTAAAGTCAACGAAAAAGTTATACACCAAATTGATTAAAACGTACTTGTAAATATCGAAGAACTGTCTTGAGAGAGCATCATTAAGACTATAATTTTCAAAGTGCTCTTCATCCACTTGATAGATCAGAGGTGGATTTTGTAACCAGAGAATTTGTAAATACGTTCAAATCAGAATGTATTATACGTCAGCATCTTTGTAAATAGATATATAAGTATATACGAAAATGTGATTAAATGTTTTTGCCTTGAATCTGTGGATTGATGAAAAGTATTTAAGCTACTTCTTGCCGGGTTGCTTGAATAACTATTTGCATTCCCAGAACCCCTTGATATTTTTTATAGTGAACTGCTACTAAGCCTCCCCTCCCTGAAAACAGGATTGGATTTGGAGGTTGAAAAGGAATCCGCTAGTGCCCAGGCGTTCCCATCTGATCCTGCGCACTTGATTTTGCGCGGAGGTTATATTACTTTTTTCTAGACCTTACGTGTATTTTGGCGCCCGCTGGCGCGAGAAGATCGAAGAGAACGCCTTAGGACAAGGCTGGGGGAGGTCTTCCTCAGATGACTGATAATCGAAAACAATTGCCCAATTGATTATTTGAAGATGTGACTCATCTCTAGAATACCAATGTTACTAGTGCTACCTTAAGCTACTTTAGGAAAGTCATAGATGGTCTGCCTTGTCCCCAGGCTCTTTTAGTTGTTCCAATCCAAAAAGTTGGAAACACCCGCTATCTTGGATTTGAATGTCCGAAAGACCCTGGCGACCCTGGCGAAAAATAGGGAGAAAAGTAAAGTAAATCTTTATTTCAACAGGGTGGCCCATGCAGATCGAAGAGTGGTATCCGTAGGGGCCCTGTAAATATAAAAGGCGCGCATCCCGGGAGGGCTCCTCGTACCAAGCCCCTCTCTCTCTTTTTCGTTCCACGCTATGGAATGGGGCTCTCTCATGCATTAGATGTGCTCAGGTCTAGGCCTCTGAGGGCAGCTGATTTATTTGTTTGTTTATTTGTTTGTTTTCACGTTTTAAGCTAAAAGTGCTATCCGGTCTGGAATGAGGTACTAAATAGGTCGTTTGGTTGCGAGAGTGGACGCTGTAAAAACACAGGCAAGTGTTGGGGTCCAATCTTTGGGGACGATAGAATATATTGTGTCGCACCCCACTCACAGCCGGTTGTAAATAAGTTAGAGCAGATATGGATAATCTCTGCCTTTTTGTCCAAAAGAAAGACGACTCTTTTTTTTGTACCTAAACAAAGAAACTTAAGTGATTTCGCTTGTTAACCCGCCAGGAACACAACAGCTACTTTCAGACAGTTAATCCCCTAGACCTGCAGGTGGTAGACTTGCTGCACAATAACGAATCCTTAGCATTTCTTTCGGCTTTCCTTGCACTCGAGCCACAGCAGAAGTTTGTCTCTTGAGGTCGAACCGGTACAGGATTTAATTTACTACTTTATTACTTTGGCGTTTTCTAGTATGCAATTTGATAGTGATCATCATATGACAAGTCGTCATTTTTATTTAGGCAGGGTAGCCCCATCAGCCATAGGCTGGTATCAAAGGGTGCCCTGCGTAAAATTAAGACTACATGAAAAAAAATTCAGAATTTAAAAATTACCGCAAAGTTATGAATAAGGAGTTTAAAAATTGAATAAAAAGGAAATTACATATCTATGAAGTACAATTTTTGAGACACGCGAAGGAAACGCGCGCCCAACGCGTGCTAGCCCCCCCCCTCCCCCGCATCCCCCCTGTTTGTCGCACACCCCTGCAGTGTGTCACGTACGGCTGCCCCAGGGGTTTCATTGCATTGACGCGCGCCGGAAATTGCTAAGCAGCAGTCGATTTTCTGGAGCGCGCCCGTGATCGGGAGAGAGAGGGTTTGAGATCTGGAACAAATACAGGAACACCGGCGACCCCTAGTTGACCCTTGAGCGATTAAGAAACGAAGGAATTCGTCGAGTAGGACATGTAACTATTTATCTAATTTCCTGTAGCTGTCCGTCGCAGCATTTTAACAGAGATCATAGCAGGTCCTTGATTCCGATCCCTTACGCGTAAACGCGTTGTGATGCAATATCACACTTCCCTCAAAAGCGCAGAAGCGTTTTCATGACTTTGTTCACAGATAAATAACAGTAGTTAAGTGCTAAGTGTATGTAAGTAACGATTGGAACGCGCCGATCAACTTTGATGTTTCTCACGGGTAAAAGTCTCGTTATCTCTTGCTAAAGTGCTGGGCCAAAGTCTGCGATACTTAAAATCCCACAACGATGTTCAACAGGCTGATATGTTCGTGCCTTTTTCTTCCCCAGTGTTAAAAATAAAAACAGCCAAAATAAAATTCCTGAAAATCTTTGCATTTCCCATTGGGAACTAAGTTGAATGTTCAGGGAGGGAAAAGATTGTCAAGTCGTAGCGTTTCAAATAGGAATGAAAAGGCAAAGAATCTGTCTAAATAACGGGTGCTCTTAAGTCCGAATTAGTCGCATTGCGCGATGGTTTTTGTTGCTGATAACTATTTATGCGAGATAAAACCGGGTTATATCGGGGGCAAAGCGAGCCACAGTGTGTTCCGGCATGACTTGTCAACATGAAATGTACTGCACGCGCGGAATTTCCAAGATGGCAAACGAGAAGCTGTCAAGTGTCCTGACAATAACTCGCAATCCAATCGACCAATCAAGCGTGTCTCTTAACAATCGCCTCACAACGGGGGCGGAGAGTTACACAGGCAAAGTATTTGAGGGATTTGAACCGCAAACCCATGCCGCGAGCTATTATGGCAGCCCAATCCTTATTGGTTTATTTGCTCAAACAATGCACATATCAAATACAGCGATCTGCAGAGAAATAAATTGTCCAAATACTAGACTGCGTGTAAAATTAGAGACCTCGCATATGGAAATTGAAAACTTGCGGATTTCTTCGAAATTGTACTCGGCTTAAGCAGGCTTTGCGGTTTGCCGTCCATCAGGCAGACTTCCTATTATGGAACAATGCTATTGAAACTGACATGGCCGCGAAACTGACGAATTCAAATCAGGGAGAAACCGCTGCTGTTTGACTTACAGCGCTAAACATGGAGGCAAGTGGCTAAGAACGGTTGCGAAGTGTGGCTCGACGCCATGCCAAATGCAAAGAAGAAAACATGCGAAGTACCGCTTCCCCTGGGCTGGGAAGAGGCCAGAGACTACGATGGCAGAGTGTATTATATCGACCACAACTCCAAGAGAACGAGTTGGGTCGACCCTCGCGATCGGTGAGTGTAACAGAGCGGGTAGTGAACCGTAGCAAGTATGACCAACTCGATTGACATTTGCCCAAAGCTCAGGCGGCCATTTGCTTTATCCTGCTTCTAGAACTGTTATTCGGGTGTTCTACAGCTACTTTACGAAGCGAATGGCCGCATCTAGGGGCGAGAAGGGTACACTAATTTCACGGCGCTTTAAATCCTATGTGTGGTATCAAGTATGTATGCGAGTTATCCAAAAGTATTAACGCTATTTTTATGGAATTTACACATTGTTAGCGACCAAACGTTTAAAGCGAGACAGATCGGCCTTGTAAATGTACTTCTAGGATTCTGTTAGGCTTCTCCATGCCAAAATAAAGGATACAACTTCCTGGAGAGCTCGAAAGCTCCCCGAAAAGTCTGATAGCGTGCAGAAGATTCGTAACTGTCGCTTTATTATTCCTCTCGGCTTTCCGTTTTGAGCTTTATTATCCCCAAATATTTCAGTTATGTAGGAGCTTTTTCCCTTCAAAACTGGTCCAAATCCTATCTCCATTCTATCTTATTCATTTTAGAACTCAGAATTTCGTATCTGGCTAAGAAATGTGTTGTTTGCGTGAAACGTTATGATTGCAGCGAGATTTTACTTGTACAGTAAACTAATTTACTGGAAAGGAATCGTTATGTCAAAGTGTATGTAATACCAGAAATGGCTAATGCGATCACGTTGAGTTCTTTTCTCTGAAAGTCTTGTTTTTGGCGATGCAGAGACATTCTTACTTAGGTTTCTAGACCAAATGCTGCGTTTCTCGTCTCCTCTTATCGATAGAATTGTTATAGCCTTGTTTCTAAGGAGGTCTGCGTGACTATTAGCTCGCGTTCGATTCATCCTATATTGTTGGATCGATAGCTATGCCTGCCCTTTTAAGATATAATTGGGATTTAGCGCTTTAAGTAAATTTGTAGGCACGAATTGTGTTTTTGCCGGTTTTGAATCGCTGTAGACGCTTTTTCGTCTCTTCAGGGGACATCTTGTCGCAGTAAGCTTATAACTGGAGATAGGACATAACAACATATATTTTTAATGAAGGCTTATAAAAACACGTTACCCGCGTCTAAAAATAACAAATCCTGTCTAAAATGTTTCTCTCCAGGCACATTTATTTGAAATTATGTCGTCACTGGTCGCTTTTGATTCGCAAAATCACGGGAAACTCGTCGATTTTCATACAACGCGATGTGTCTGCTTCCCGACTTCATTTATCAACTAAAGTTATTTATAATTATTGCGTGGAGCTTTCACTAAATATCGATATCCTTTTCTCGGGGAATCAGCATATCGGTCGCATTCCAATCGAAGAGAAACTTCAGGAAATTCCGAGCTTGACACTTCGAACGATATTGAAGTTGTAGAATTTTATTTTATTTCTTTGAAAATGCACTTGCTGTTTGTATTGTTTTGACGGCAAATAAATTGAAATCAAACTCTGAAACTGTTTAGTCGTATAATTCAGTATGATATTTTATGAAGTTAAAATATTTTACCCTAGCAGGGTTGATATCTCGTTTTAGGTTATTGTTATCACTGTATTTTCCATTTCTGGTCTGGTTTGTGAAGAGAGCTAAGGAAAAACGTACCTCGACAATTTTTGAACAGAAGAATTCTACTTAGCTGGCTGATCTGTGGCACACTGCCAAAAGTAATTGAATTATTTATCTGTTTCATTCCTCCACGGCAATTACTGGTTAAACTTTGAACATGTTACTAGAAACAGTCACCAATGGTAAAATCTGTGGCTTTGCGAAAATTATTTGAAGTTTTCTGCACTTATGTCCTGACTGAAACATTCTTCAGACCATACGTAGACTTCCAGGCTTAAAAAAATGATGTTTTGTTAGGGAAATGAGATTAGTTTGAATCAATGACATTTATTTGATGGGATTTATAAGATCTTGCTGGAAGTTGTTTTTCTAATTCACCACAGAAGCAACCTCAGAATTTCACAGGAATGTATGACCATATTGTTGTCAAATGTTGCAATTTCACTCTTCTCAATTAATTACGCTCTAATGAAGGTCAACAATAGATATGCATCACTTCTCTGTCAGGTTAGCAGGTGGTGAAAACAATTTATTGCCCCAGATATTTGCTATGCAGATTTATTTTGAGCCTTGCTGGATTAATCCTTGTTTACTTTTTGCTGAATGTGTTTTTATTTCCAAATTTCTCATGTGAGTCCCTGGTCAGTTCAAAACCAAATTATTACCGATAACTTCACAGGGGATGTGATATAGAACTTTATTGGCTGTAAATGGGCTTATTTACAAGGTAGTGTTTGACTTCTGGGAGAATACATGCAAATTACCATAAAGGTTATCCATGGTTCAAAAGGCTTGTCCAAAATTCCTGAGCATCAAATCCAAAGATGTTCCACATAGCTCGCAAGTAGATAAGCTGAGTAAATATGTTGTGTTCTTATCTAGCATTAGTTTACCAACAAAGTACACAAATGATTCTGTAAAGCAATAAGGTTGTTTTCTGTATGCCACCCAGGGGTCTTGTGTTGGTGAATTATTGTTTCAAATAATTGTGTTCGCCCAGGTTAGTCGGGCCTATTGTCAATGCTGTGCGATATTTGTCAAGGGTTCTTCCCAAGACTGTAATATCAAGGATGTTTTGGTCTTCAGAATGTGCATATCTAAAATATCTATCTGAACAGAGGGGGAAAAAAATGTAAAGATTGTCTCCAGGCAGCATAATATACTTTGACCCAGTGTCACTAAACTTAATAAACCATGTATTGTTCAATTGAAACTATAATATTCTTGTGTCTAATTAATTTCATGTTCTGGAACTTTCTTGCTTAAAACAAATACAGATTGATGAACATTGACCATTTCAAGAAGTCTGTGAGCTGTTATATTGTTAATGCAATTTCAACTATTTCGGAGTTAACACACACTGTAGATGCATATGAAACATTCTAAAGAGGAATTTGTGAACACCCAATCCAGTACACTATTATTTCTGAAACAGATGAGTGCCTCAAAGACAGAAAGCATGACTGTCACATCCCTTCAGTAACTAAAACCTTAAATGTAAAATTAGCTCAGAATGTCTGGAATTCAATTCCAGAATAATTGCTTAAAGATGTTTATTGTATTGGGAAAGTAAGTAATAAAGTCTGCATATGAGCCAACTGTGGCCCATCAGGTCAAAGCTTATCCGTGTTTTGCGACTTGGAGTGTAAATACAATGTCATTTTAAAAACCTTTTTATTAATGTAACTGATTTCCATAAACATGTTTTAAGAATAGTTCTGAGAAGTTAGTGTGACAACATATTGATCCTAAGTTGCAAATTGATTATTTTTTTCTCTGATTTTTTCACCTATTTGCTGATGATGCATTTGTACAGTAAGGACATTGTGGGCATTGATTGTTGTCAGATATTTACATGAAAGCAATTTCGCAGGAGTGAGATTAACACAAGCTGATAATCAGAACAGGAAACTTTTAATTAAAATACATATGTTTTACATCGTTGTTTTAGCGAAGGAACATTTTAGTGTGGAAAATAATATTTGTTACAATATGTCATGTACATTTGTTACATGTTCAAATTATGTAATTTCCTGGCAATGAAAAGAACTCATACCAAGATGGACTTAGTAAAGTTACATTTCTTTTGGAACTTTAAAATCCAGGTCTTTTTTAGCCTGTAACAGCTGTTTGTGACTATCAATAGGACTCTTCCTGGATGGGATATTGATACCAGTGTGTACATCCACCTGGCATTACTTCAAATTGCCATGGCAAAAACAATAAGAAGGAACTTGATTCAGGTGATGTTAACACTTGTATGAAAAAATATCCTAACAACTTTTATTGTTTTTTTTTACAGGTTAACAAAGCCTATGACATTTGCTGATTGTGTAGGAAATGGTATGTTGAGTATATGTGCATATAGACTAACCAATCAATAACCGTGCAGCAATGTATTTGTACGGTATTTTTTATCAAGTTCAATAAATATTTATCACATTTTTTTAAGATAAACTTGTTTTCACTGGGTTACTGTGCGACTTTTTCGAGTTTGATTTTCTCTATGGTACTCTGTTGCTAACACAAAAGTGGGTTGCACACACAGTTCTTACCAGGTTCTTACCAGGGTTGCTTAAAAGCTTTGAGGTAGACAGCTTTAGATTGTCCATTTTGTTGTCTACTGTACATGTATTTCTAAAGAATCAGACAAATTCCCTAGCAGAGTTAGTGGCTAAGGTCATGAAGTAAAGAGTGATTTTCACCTGCACGGGCTATTTTTGACAACCCTGGCTTGCATTCCATTGTTTAACATTCTTCTCTAAACGCAGAGTTGCCATATGGTTGGGAAGAGCTCCATGACAAAGTTCTTGGAAGATACTTTATTGATCACAACACTGGTAAGAGTTTATACTTCTTTTTAAAAAACTTATTTGTTTAAGTTGGAAAAAGAAAAAAAATAAAATAACACAAATCTTTTTCAAATAGCTGTTGTTGCAGCTGAGTCTTCAGACAATTATTATTCTTTTGTTAGAAAGGCATGCAAACAAAGTGAAAAGGGTCGATACAAAGTAGACCCTTTTGCCTGGTTTGTATCTCGGGCTGCTGATAACTTCAATAACAGCATTTAAATTATGGCTTTAAGAGTTACTGTAGCCTGGATGCCTAATTTTTGGGTATTCTTCAAATTAAACCTTAAAACTTTTTTGGTCATTTGTTAGTTTACAATTTTTAATTTACAATTACATATGTTACATGCTCTTCTTGTTGCATTTTGTACTGGTAAGCTGGAGAATATGTAGTGTATAAATACAGCATCACAGACTTGTTATTTTTTGTAATAACTTAATTATGCTAAGTTAGTACCTACTTATATTTGTGAGGAGGCATTAGACAGTGACTCATTCTCAGGTAAATTTTTCCTGTTTTAGATTAACTCACATTATCTTTGGCTGGGATCTCAGTCACTTAACTAAGTGGCTATTCCGCCCCTTTTTGAGCACTCTCTCCTTTATAAATGGCTGTTATTATAATTATGTTCTATATAACTAACATTCTCTGCAGTGTTGCATGACATACAGGTATCTCTAGGTGAAAGAAGTAGAACACTTAAATTCCTCTTGGATCTGCACCAACATAAGTCTAAATTTGTTAAATATAGCACAAGATCGTTTACAAAAGTAAGCATCAGCAATTGCAGCTTCATTAACTACCCCAGCACATCAGGTGATTTAAAATTAGCCTCTTCAATAGACGTGGCAGATATTTATAGTTCCAATCATACCACAAACTAATTGTAGCTTCAGGCAAAAACATTTCTGATTTGTCTGAAGCTGCATATACGCTTCTTTCACAGAGCTAAAGGTCAGTCACATGCCACCTTGTAAACATGTTAAATTAATTAGGATACTTGGGAATGCTTCTTTATTCAAAGCATTTGCAGGGCAGTGGGAATTGTATGAAAATATTCAATTTGACAATGCCTTTTGATGCATTTTCTTTTTGCCATTAGGTGCGCAACAGGCAGAAGACCCTAGAATACAATGGCGGAAGAAGCGGGAAACTATGCTCTGTGATTATTTGGCAGTTGCACAGTCTGACTTATTGGTATGAATGTTATTGCTTGTGTTCTACCATGCGCAACTCAGGGAATGTCAAAACATTCTTATTATTAATATCTCAGTTTTATATTTATCAGTGCACTCGTTTAGGTGCATTTCATGCCAGGAAAGGTTTCTTTGCAGTTTATTTTCTTTATTTCAAATGTGAAGTCCCCCTTACAAATTAAACACCCAAAGGAACAGGAGTATTTTGTGACAAAAACACTAAAAAGGAGCTGATTAATGGTCAAGCTTGACCTCCTTGCCTTAAATAAGGCTTTCAAAATTAATGTTTAACAATATAGCCCAGACAATTTTTGAAAGTCAATAAATAACTTACATGTAAGATAATATGTTTTTGTATAATATCAAGTTCAGGAAATAAGGTATCAAAGAAGTCAACAGTTTAGCCCAGGTGTTTATTTATGAAATAGTCAGTAGTTGTATACTAAATGCCTCAGAGAATGCTCAAGAATCCCTGGTATTTTAAAAACATAATTATGTATTTTTTATTGTTTAGTTCACTTGATAGCTAATATTATCTGCAGCAAACATATCACAAGTGTGACCACAACTGTGATGTATTGCATTTCAAATTACAGGCTAAGCAAAATATGTTAGATGTCAAGAAGCAAAGGCTAAATGTTGCACGTGAAGAGGTAAAATTTGATTTCCCTACTAAAAAAGTTGTTTCCAATGAAATAATGTTTAATATGTTATATTTATTGGAAATCCTTGTTTATTTGCATGAATTTTTGAAATAAAGATTTTAAGTTCATTTTATTTTACTTCTTTCTGCTGTTGGTAACCAGATTAGGAAAGACTAATCATGGCAACTTACTTGTCAACACATGTTCAGTAATATTGTGTAAATTTCAAGAAATAAATACATGTGCAAATAAAGTTCTTGTTGATTAGCATGAATTTTCAAAATAAAGATTTTATGTTATTTTTCTATTTTCTGCTGTTGGTAACCAGATTAGGAAAGACTAAACATGGCAACTTACTTGTCAACACATGTTCAGTAATATTGTGTAAATTTCAAGAAATAAATACGTGTGCAAATAAAGTTCTTGTTGATTAGCATGAATTTTCAAAATAAAGATTTTATGTTATTTTTCTATTTTCTGCTGTTGGTAACCAGGTGAGGAAAGTCTAGACATGCCAACTCAAATGTCAGCAGATGTTCAGTAATATTGTGTAACTATATGCAGCTTTAGTAAGAGTAAAATTTAAACAATGTTATCAACTCAAGACTAATCCTATACACACATTTGCACAGGTTCAGTTTTGGACATCAGAGCTGGAGAAAATGCAGAAACGCCATGAGGGACAACCAAAGCATGTAAAACAAGGCAGCTTAAGTTCTTCCTCATCAAATTCAACAGTAAGCTCCATTGCAAGCAAGTATGATGTGAATCAACTCAAGAAGGAGATATCTCAAGCCAAGTCCAGGGTATGCAATAATACTCCAGACATTTTGTTTTGGTTGATCTTGGGAAAGGCAGCATGAAACAGGCCTCAGGAATGATGCTGTAGTTTCACTCATGAGATATACAAACAAGGCATTTTTACACAGGAATGTAGCTTAAGAGCTGGCTAATTTCACCAGCTAGAAGAGAGATTATCACCAGCTGAAATTTACCAGTAAACAAAACCTTGTGGTGATTTTAAAGGTGTGCAGCCCAGAAAAGCCAGGCGAGCTTGTTTTTATGACCTGGCTTAGTTTTAGCTACGTGTGCATCCCTGTTTACAAGACAAATTTGATCCCTGCTTCTGGATTATTGAAACTTCCATGTGTTATCATCTCTGGGCAACATTTATGAGATTTTATTGTAAAATTGCTTGTCAAATGACTATTACAGGTCAACTTGTTAACCTCAAACTTTTGGTAATTTAGGTAGCAGAGTGAGACTACATGTACATGTTAAAGCTATATTGAATTTTATATTTAATATTCAGAACACAATGTTCAGTTTCACCAACTATCTCAACTATGGGAAATAAAAAAAGTTTTCAAAGTTGTTCAGCTTTTGTGACACATTTACTGCTTTCTCAGGTTGAAGAACTCAAAACAGAAATGGATGTTGTTTCGGGTGAAGTTCAAGCGCAGGAAGAAGGCTACGAAAAACTTAAAAAAGTTGACCGAAAATTGTCTTCCCATCGTGGATGCAAAAAGGAGGATGTACAAGTTTTAGTAGAGGAGATACAAAGCATGCAAAGAACATTGTTTGTCAAAGAACAAGAGAAAAATGATCTGATACAAGCCTTGCTGAGACTCAAGGATAAGTTGTCACAACCTGATTCTTCAAATGAGGTGCGTAGTGGAGATTCTCTGATGCATGTGGGTATAATGTTAGCATCAATAGACAAGTGGTCACTGCTAACCTCTTTGGGTTGGCTTACGTTTGGCACATGACACCTGGGCCTAGTTTTTTGAAGGCTGGATAAAGCTATCTACCAGATAAACTGCTAGCCAGTGGATAAGTGTTACTATATCAAAACAAACCATGCTTACCCGCTGGATAGTGAGTTATCTGGTAGACAGCATTATCCTCCTTTCGAGCAATCCGGGCATGGGGTTTTGCAAGTTAACTGAAAGTAGTTTGCTGTTGGAATCAATTAATTAGTGGTATCAGAAATTAAATTGATTTAGCACTCTATTAATCTCAATAATGCAATTATTTCGTTTCAGTTATTTAATGAATTTATATGTTTGTTAAATTTATTTACCTACTTCTGTTTATATATGTGTGTATGTTTGCTTCAAGTCAACGTCTATCAGTTGATGACTCTCTTTGTTTTTGCCTCCACTGGAATATTTTGATGTTTTAAGGAAAAATAACATGTCAGCTGCATAATAGATGGAACGGAAAATTTAAATCAATGATGTTGTTGATGTAAAGAAAAGCAAATAATATCAAAAAGGTTTTTCGCTCGGACATAACAGGCAAAGTGTTTTTTCCTGTGGTCAAAAGGCATTTCCTTTTCATTCCTAAGGATTAAAAATAATCTAGATTGATGATAATCTCTTAATCGGCTATTAAATGAGCTTAAATTTAATTAAGATGGACAAAAATACTTGTTGAACAAAACAGGGACAACGCAATTCATGTAAATGGAAGTTGAGACAGCCATTAGCATTGTATATGAGGTTATAATGCAATCTGCTGTAAGCCAACTTAATTTGTCAACTGAGTTCATTGAAATTGGATGAGGGGATATAAAACACTTTCATTTAATTGATATATTTTGTATGTTGACTTTGACTTCTAACAAGTTTAATTTTCTGGTGCAGCTGTTTTTTATTATTATTGATGTAAGAACGATGTCAACAGCTTCATGTTAATAATAACCAAATATTCCATAGAATTGAGCTTAATTTGATAAGCTTATTTTACCAACACCTTAATTAACCTCGAACTTATTTGAAAAAAAAA